GTAACGGAGAAATATATAGCACTTGAGACAAAAGTAGCGAAATGTAGATCTGTCGAGTAAACGTGGGCGAGATTGTTCCGAAGGGCGCGATGCATCCCATTGCTGAGGGGTTGTTCCGGTGGCACGATGCCCAATGCTAAGCGTGTGAACAACCGTGCATTTTGACCGCCATTTCCGACGGTCACCGAATTTCTGCCGTTTAAAACCGTTAGTCGAGTCCGCGCCGCGCGCTGTAGACCCAACGACGCAGGAACATTCCCTCCCCGCGCGATGGTCCCTCCACACCCTCCTTTCGTCTGGCCGCCCTACGCGCGGTGAACGACAACCCAAGTAACGTCGCTTGCCCAGTAGTTACAGTGCTGCGTCGGACCAAATTCTCCACGCCAGCACTGGTGTGGAGCACCTTCGGATGTATTTCTTCCTCTACGGGGACAGCGTGCAAAAAGAACAGATGCTTCACATACCTGCACTAAATAGAGGACAAAAGTAGTTTACCACTCGGTCAACACTCATCAATCATATGGAGACCATAGCTATGACATAAGTATAGCCCAGGTACCATATCAGCTTCTCGAACTGCCAAAATCCAGGGAGTGTATTGCCTGTTACATCGAGCTCTATCCATCGTTTCCAAGCGGTTAGTGTCGGAGGATCAAAGTGGAAGGTGGGAGATCCTGAGCAGTACGCGCATTATAATGTGTATACAAAAAATGTGCATACGTGTGCACCATTCCACGCGGCGCCACCGTTCTGAACGTCTGTCGGTCGTTGCCGAAGGCGCGGCGCTCATCTATCACAATGCACTGACCTGACCATGATGCCCGCTCCCCGAATTTATCATGGCCCTGTCCCGCTCCTACCTCTGGACTCACAGCGGCGGCTCCAACAGATCGTCCTGAATATTGCTGTTTCTTCTTCCCCATCCTCGGATGCTTTCCTTCTAGTCGCATAGCTTCTCATCCAAGTGGCCCTTGTTTGCATTCCGAACATTTTCAAGGACGGTGTGGCATGAGACTCGCGTTGAGCTCGCACGTCAGAAATGGTAGGAGGGAGATGGAATGTGGTACTCGGTGAGCCTCCTCTGCTGACTTGCATCACTACCCTTCGCGGCCCATCCGAGTGCTGGTACGTCCGAACATCCCCAGCAACCTCCTCTTCGTTATGTTTTTGCGCGCTGATTTCAATCTGGTCGTCATCGACATCGGTCTGATGTCTTTGTCCGCCCGGTAGCCACACAACGGGGACTTGTGCTAGCCGAGAGACATCATCAACTTTCCTCCGTCGTTCCAAAGGCGTGTTCACTGTCTCTGGTGGGCGATGAACCTCACCGTGGTGAGTATATACGGCGGGCGGTCACACACGGGCGCATGCACTGCATGCCAAATATCCTATCAGTGAAAATTCCGGCATTGGCATTGATCAAGGCAGCAAACTGAGTCTGGCTCGCCCATTGATTTAGTGCCCATCGACTGTCATCGTCGCCCAACGTCCTGGGCCGAATCTGAACCCACCTCAGAAAAGGTGTCTCAATCCCGCATCCGACGAACATGATGTCCCTTTCTCTTGCCTCGTTCAGTGAACGGGCACAATCCCAACGCGCAGATCTAACTATGACGTACACCGTTCACAGTGGACCGCCACGCCTGATATGTAGCTCAGTCCGGCGTACGCATTCACTTAGCACACCACAGGTCGCTGTAGCTCCTCCCAATTGCCCGATGCATACCCTAACAGACAGTCGTCCTCCGATCCAGGCATTCATATGCGCACCCGAACGCCTAGCTGCAATTATCCTTCTCTGCTGTCCGTTCTCTGTATCGTGAGGTGCCTTTGTGATGCTCGAGCTCAAGCTCCCATAGCCAGATCGTACCGTCGCGGCTCCCGCTCATAGAGCCAGACCTCTGTGGAGTGCATGCGAGCCTCCCTCCCTCATTTCCACCTATTTGGCTGTATTCCCCATATTGAGGGGCGGCTGTATATTTTGATCAAAATGCAACCGCGGATTCGGCTTGGCCAGACGTGAGGGCTGGGAGGCGTGCACGGTGAGGTGGGCGTACGTAAGAGGTGTGCCCTTGCAACGCATGCACGCCTGCAACCTCCTAACGGAGTGCACGCCATTCATGCAGTTCGCGCGTGCTGAATATCTAGACAGGTTATGAAAGGTTTAGTGAATGGACTACACGGAGAGGTGGCACGAGATCCAACTAAGTCCGTTGTACCACGTCCCCATATCGTAAACGGGGAGAAATAAACTTGCAACTCGTCGTGATAGTGTGCTACATGTTTACTCCGATGAGCTGGCAGCAATGTGCTTCGCCTACCGAAGTTGCGATTGGAAGGACATGACAGTAGAAACGCTTGCGCAAAATACTGAACAATCCGTTAAATAATGAAAACTCGAATTCAAAATCGTTGGTGTTCTGGAGGATGTAAGTCGAAGCGTATGCACGGTGGAAAGGACACGAACTGAAGCTGAGTTGGATGTCGAGCGCCAGGCCTGATACTCTGAGGGGAGGGTGCTCGCTTGTCAGGTTATGATGCGGCCGTCAGCACTTGCTTGTCCTCGGATGCCACGATTGATTTGCATTGCAGGTCATCTACTGTATGATAACAGTAAGCTCATCATCGATCGTGCTCATTGTTCTGATCAAATTGCAAACAGCTACTGGGAGATCTGGCTGCATCATAGATCGGTCTCGCCATCGTGCTGTTTGCATGCAACATACTGTCCCTCAACCCGACTGCCTAGATTGAAGGGTTTCAGAAATTGGCACAGTGCCGGTGTCAGTGCCGTCATGCTATCAAGTTAGTTGAGTATCAGGGCCAGCCAAAAACGTTGAGTGATCTTTCTGCTTACCATCTCACATATCCGCCTTCTCCCACCAGGATCTGTGGACTCGATATCCTCGCCAGTCATTGGAGTTGGCTCAAACAAGTCATCTTCATCGACCAAGGACTCGTCTTCAGGAGGAGGAATTGAACCAATATCGAGAGGTCCGCTCAAGTTTCCAACAAAACTAGCAGCAAAGTTCAGGCTCGTCGTTTGTGTGTGCAATGTGTCAGAATTGAATCGGGAAGAAGCATTCAGAGTGTCTCCATGTTCAGAGGCAGTTCGAAGGTTGAATATGAACCGTGAGACGAGGATATATGGTATGCTAACGAAGTGGGTGAGTACTGGGCGGCTTAATGACACTCGGACAAAAGTTATACATGTTCACGCTCACAAATGCATAGTTTTTAAAAACCTAAACGTCCCGTGTCAGCGATAATCAGGGAATCAGAATGTGTGAATAATGACTGGTGTGCCTTCATTCTGAAACATCAATATGAGCCCCAGAATTTGCAGTGCAAGGTCTGTTCTGAATACCATGAGTGTTATACTTTGTTGAAAAATACTGAAAATAGTGAAGAGTCTCACATAAAGTAAGCTGTACCTGTACCATCCCTTCAGTTAGAACGCATTTATCTGATGATCCGACAGAAATTTTACCATCTCTGAAAACTATAAATGCCAGAGATGGTTTAAAACCACGATATTGAGTTATCAAGCTCGATCGTAATGTATGATTCCATGTAGTTGCAATGACTATCGTATCAGAAATGATAATCGACACTGAGGACACAAGAGACCCTATGAAAGAATTAGTATAACAACTAATTCTTGTTGAGCACTTACATCTGTTCCAGAACGAGTGATATTAGTGATCATTCATGTGAACACTTTCCAGACACATACCCAAATAAAACGGGGAACGTCATGTAACTGTTGGTCCCGCATGTAATTGAGGTATTTACCAGAACTGCAAGAGGTGATGAATGTATATCGATATACTGCTACAGCGTAAGAATATGTAAAAACTCTGTGTAAGATTGTTACACACCATATGTATTGCTGCAGGTGCAAGACCAAATACGAGCACGAGGAATGAGAGTGTCTTGTTGAATGCACTGATAGCATACATTCGTAGAGCAGCAAATGCTATATACGAAGCATTCAGTAATGGACAGAACTGGAAGTAAACGGGAGACCAACACGCCGCAACCACCATTACTGTAATGTCTGAAATACATGAAAGGACAAAGATGACCTCGCAGCTAAGCTTGTTACTGCAGGAACACAACTGGAGTGTTACGGACAAACCTCTATTCCATGGTAATGTGAGTGTCCACTGGAAGAGAAGAGTATATGGCGAAACAGCTCACCAAAGCAGCGACCAGAGGAGTGGCGCGCATTGTGATCATCACAGCATCGAACAAGAGCAAATATCTATTGAGGAGAAAAACAACCGCCACCCCAGATATAGGACGCAGCCAAAAAAGATCGACTTCAAGAGAGAAGGTGATAATGTATTCGTAAACGGCGAGAGCTACGGTGTCGATATTTCATAAACGCGTGATATGCACATGAGGCATTCCGTACCACAGGAAGTATAAACGCAGAACCTGTTCAGGTACCTTGCGACAGACTGTGAGCTACCCGTATCTTCTCGCATAATCATGAGTGTTCAACAACTCACACTACATCGACTAGAGCTATCGTAGACGGAACAGAGGACATGTTAGGGAAATCTTGCACAAGGGTCATTAGCGTAGAGGCTTGTTTGAGAGATAAAAAGGATCCGTATAAACGAGCGCTAATGAGAATCTGAGGCAGGGGGTAGCTTGACGCGGGTCTGCTAAGTAGACATGACTAGCTGTTTCAGGGATGTGGTGCCTATCTCTGAGTGTAGGCGACTGTACATTGCGGTGGACATGGACCTGTTGCCGTTCCAAATCGTCAGTCGAGTCCGCGCCGTGTCATGCCACTCAGCGCAGGCTCATTGCCATTCCTCGCGCAGCGACGGCCTCTCTACACCCTCCGTTCCTTCTGGGTATCCTACAGACTGCGAACAATCACGCGGGTCATCGGTTGCCCAGTAGCAATAATGCTGTGTTGCGATCGAATTTCCCATACCAGTACGGTTGGCAGAATGCCCTCGGGTGTATTCCTAGGAGGTACAGCATACAGAGAGGGCAGATGCGTTACGATCTTTGCCTGAATAGAGAAAACATCAGCGTCAGCACATAATCCCTATCAATCGCCTAAAGAAAATAGCTATAACATGAGCACAGCCGCTGTGTGCATGTTAATGCGGTGGGCAGGGCATCGGCCTTCCCGAACTGTCATTGGTGTCCTCACCTAGAGTGTGTCGCCTGATGCATTGGGAACTGTCCATTGCTGTCAAGCGGTTGGTTGGGAAGGATTACAGTGAATTGTGGGAGATACTGAGACTACGTGCAGACTAGAAACATACGGCGCCACCGTTCTGAACGGCTGTGTGTATCTGCCGGTCGTTGCCGAAGCAGGTTGCGTACACTTTTACCGCCCTTACGACTGGTTCTTAACAATCAAATGTCCTGTTCCCGCATAGATCGTCCTGAATATTGCTATGCCCTCTTCGCGACCGTCCCATGCCACTTTCTTTCTAGTCGCTTGGCTCTCCTCATCCAAGTAGCCTTCCTTGCACTCTGAACACTTTCAAGGACGGTGCGGCATGAGATTCGCGTTGGAATTGAGTTCGCACGTCGGACATGGTACGAGGGGGATGGAACGTAGTGTCTATGCCGGTGGAATGTCGAGTCCAAGCACGTCGGTGAGTCTCCTCTGTTATGGACTCCCACCCGCTACCCTCCACAGGGCCGTCCGCAGCCCATCCAACTGCTAGTACGTTTGGCATCCACAGCAATCGCCTCCTTGAGACCGCGCCTTATGTTTCCGAGCGCCAACGTCGAACTAGTCGTCATCGACATGGGTTTGGTGTCTCCGTCCGCACGACAAACACCTGCCCGGGGCTCATACTGGCCGGGAGACATCATCGACTTCCCTTCGTCGTACCACGGGCGTGTTCTCTACTGTCTCTGGTACGCGTTGGGCCTCGCCGTCACGGCCACCTACGGCGGGCAGACACGAACGCGGATATGCACTGCATACTGAGCGACTTGTCAGTGAAAGCTCTGACGCTGGTATCGAAGCAGCAAGCTCACTCTAGCATACAAATGAACTTGGTACGTAGTCATTGCCGCCAAATAATTTGTGCCAAATCATTGCAATTTGAAGCCTGCGCGCTACATAGCCCCTGAAAAATCCGCCCGATCGATCAACCCTCTTCGTTCGTTCCTCAACGTGCGGAGGACTGCCATTCCTTGTCTTCTGAACACCTTTGAGGTTAGCATAGTTGAAGTCGCGCATTGGAATTGTGCCCGTTCTTCAAAAGGGCCTCTTAGTCGTACGACACGGGATCAAACACTAGGGGATGTTTCTGCCGTGTGCTCTTACCCCCCCCCCCCCCCTCCT